ACTGCCTCAAACCCCAACCGAACATCGCACAAGCGCCCGGAAGAATAATTTTAGAGTTAGTTGCACATATAGAGACATCCCTCCATAATTCATTCATTCACACAACTACCTCAAACAATGCATTTATCAAGCAGGTCTTAAAGTACGCACATAAACAATGTACATCGGATGTTTACACGTGCACACGGACACACATACACATTCAAACACAATTAAATATTCACAGGGTAAACATTCCCTCAACACAGACACACATTCACAATCACACACACAAACACGTACACACACACACGCACACACATGCATTCAAAAAGAGACACACACCTAAACATATACGGCGTGTGTATATGTTATAAAACGGTTTTTACGCGGAGTATATGGCAGCCAATGCGAAGCTTGAGAGGTGTCACGTGAAAAGTACTTTGGAATCACTTGCACATTCAACTTCCAACTTTAATTACTGATTCACGCTAGTACATTGTGTCTCTACAAAACAACACGAACAAAGTGAACACGTGTGTGTGTATGTTGGTGAAAAAATTGTAAATAAAAGCGAGTTTTAATTTCAAAAATCCCCGTACAAAAGAAGGTGATTCCACCAAACAAAGACCGATGTAGCTTACAAAGGCATTTCCCTATATGGAAAGGAACTCTAAACAAATTTTTTCTTTGACATGTTTTAATTTTTGCATTTTATTGTTTATTTTCAATAAAAACTCAAACGTTAATATTTGTATAGAAACAAATTTGTTAAAAGACTGAAATTTCAGACATTGTACTTTCAAACACTTTATTCTACATTTTGACGGTATATCCTGTCTGTATATCTTTTTAAATTAAACATGCAAGCAGGCATATGCTTGAGCGTAAATCACAACAACTAATAACAACGTGCCTGTTGTGAAACTGGAAGAGACAAGTGAAACCAACAGCAATAAATAATCTTTAGATGAAACATGTTCATGTCAGCGATGGATGGATGGATGGATGGTTGGATGGATGGATGGATGGATGGATGGATGGATGGATGGATGGATGGATGGATGGATGGATGGATGGATGGATAGATGGATGTATGGATGGATAAATGGATAAATGGATAGATAGATGCGGATGGTTAAATAGAATAACAAATAAAAGATGGATGATGTTCAAAAATTTAAATGACTTTTTACCCCACAGTGTCACTGCTTACGAAAAAACAACAGAAACATCATTCAATAGATTGATTAAACATGCTTTGTCACCACATTTTGTCAAATTGATAAAATGTTTTATAAACTATTTTATGCTGAATTTGTTGCATAGCATTAATATAAAAATATATATAATATGAGGTGTGTTGGGCCGCTAAAAATGTATTTAAGTCTTAGTAGATAATCGTGTATTTTTACGTATCTCATTTTTATTAATAAATAATAATCTGCAGTTTAACAGCTAGGAATAACATTTTAAATACAATCAAAAATATCTAATTAAAATCACAAATTAATTAAACTTAATTAAACCACATGCCACGGTGACTATTTAATTTCAACTATATTTTGTTTCGTAATCAAATGAACGTTGTTTGATTCTTCAGTTTCGTGAATATCTACATGAATACAATACACTAAACATACATTTAGCTGGACTACCATCTCTCACACACACACGCACGCACGCACACACGCACATACAAACAAACAAACAAACGTATATACAATACATACAGAGAATTTATTTTTTGTAGCCATCAAAATAAATTGATGGTCAGACGCTGTTTTATTACATTCGCAACAACTTTTTTCTCACAGACAGTTAAAATTATTATCAGCCGACATGACAGTTAATTTTAGAATGATAAATAATGTAAGCAAAAATTTCCACTAGTAAACGGGTGAAAACTGCTGTGGAGAATGCTGGCTGATGAAGAAAGACATGACAAGGTTCAAGTGTGTCGAATGTTTGACTGTAAATACAAAGAGAGAGAAAGAGAACAGGAAAAAAGATAGAGAGACAGAAGAAAAAAAAGGGGGGGGGACAAAATAGAGAGAAAAAAAGAAAGAGAGTGAGAGGAAGAATGGGAAAGAGAAAAAACTTAATTAACTTATGAATATAAGCCTAATTGGTTACACGTTTGCAGTTTGTCATACAAGCCTGAATGAATGTGGCATCACACGAAAATACCACTACCACTGCTACTATACTACTAAGTGCATCTCTAATTGTCACTACTCCATATCTTTCCTCACAGTTTTTATGTATTTTTGAATGTCTGCTAAATATTTTTATCGCCACTTTTGAATTTCATTTTTCATGTTGATATTTTTTGATGTTATATATTTATAAACTGCTTATCGTAGATCGCAATTCAAATTTTCTCGTTACTGTCGCACGTATTTAGAAACATAAACAAAACTTCTTCAAATGTTGACGCATCGACTGATTGTTTATAAAGAGCGCCTTCAATTAAAATTTTTGAAGACCAACCTTTGATAACATTAATATTTATTTATATTTACATTCTCGTCTTCTCAGACTGCTTTCGTTCGTGTTCTTTGTCTTCCTTAAATGCCATGTAGGCGATAAAAATAAAACGATAGGGCTATAAAAATTTCATCTCTCTGTCAAATTTACCGTCAAAAATTGTCGAATTTTAATTTCTCCGTTTTAGCATTCAAAGTTTGTGAAAAAATAAAACATTTACTGTTCGTTTTAAGCTTTTTAAGTACCGAAATTTCATTCGGTCAAACACAACTTTCTGGAAAAACAAATACAATCAGCCGTTATTTGAGCGGATAAAATTAAAAAGTTGTAGAAAATGTTAAAAAATGAAATGTTGAGAAAGATGATAGAAGTAACTAATTAACTAAAGCGTAAACGAGTCTAAATAAATAAATCTTCTAATTTGAAAACAGAGATAAATAACTTAATTAACAAAAATAAATAAATAACTTAATTAAACAAAAATTTCTTCAACGGCTTTTGCTACACTACTCTAAACCACTGTGCTTTCAGACTTGAGCATTCATTATTTATTTACGATATCTATTCAAATAATTCAATTGCAAGTCATTCGTCTCTAACAAACACATGTTAACATTAACATGCAATCTCTACTTTCTTTAACTTTGCTTCATGAAAAGCCTGTTTCCATAATTTTTATGAGGAAGCTACTCTGTGAAATAAAAAATAATATTGTCAACATTTGCTGAAAAAGTTTTTTTTCGAAAATTTTTAAAGAGATAACTGGAAAAAATCATTGTCGGGCTTCGGGCACGATGGAGTGATGAGAAAGATGAATGAATTAAAATACAAAGAAACGAAAATCTGTACTGCAGGTACACACAAAACTTTGGAAGTTAGATGCTGTTTAACGTTGAAGGTCACAAAAGTTCTAATTGTAATTGAAATCTAACCACAAACTCATCAAACGACTTTATCACACCACTTTAACATCATTTCGTTAAACACGCATTAAAATATCTACTCCGCAAATGAAATGTAAGCTTTATTAACATACGCACAATGAGATGCTCCTTGCCTCCACATTAATCAACAGAATTTTTTAAACAAAATTCATTGTGTGTCTTGTCTAGGTCGAAGTACAAATCCTTTTTGTCCAGACTCCCATATATAAAAATTTACTCTCAACAACATACAACACACATACAAAAGTTTGTGCGTGTATGTGCAATGTATGATGTGTATGTGTGCTGTAAGATGTGTGTGTAAATCGTATTCGTGAAGATAATATTACTTTAGCGGTTTCATTACGGGTTAAAAAATCTCATTTACAAAGGCAGAAGACAGAGAGCGCAAGAATGCCGAAAGCGAAAGTATCAAGTTTTGAAAAATTTCAACAAAATTTTTAACCAGTCCAAATTTTAGAAATCTGACGAACAAAACGGACCTTTTAGATTAGAGTATTTTTCAAATTTTTCCGTCGCGACATCCAGTAAAAAAGAATGTTTGTCTTTGTTTGCATTTGATATCCTTATTATGAAAAAAAACTTTAAGAGACGATCATAGTCTCAAATTATTTGAAAATACAACGAGTTATTTGAACTTACTAGATGAAAAATGGCGACGACCGACCGATGATAGACGGAAAATTAGTTGATGAGTTTGCTCTATTGATTATTATTATATAACATGCACGTGCATTGATGTTCTACAGCGGATTAATAAAAATTTTGAGTGCATTCACAGGTTGATTGCTTCATGTAGTTTTGACGTAGTAAAATTATCCTAGCCATCTTATTATAGCAAATGCGGACCATTTCAAAATAACTTTTGGAGTTTTTGTTTCCACATAACACGCATTGTGCTGACCATTGCTCACTCAGTTCTTATATTTTACACAGGAAACCATCAAGAGACGTAAACATTGTTTGTGGATTAATATATAATGCTTCTAAGTCAACTTTAACTTCACGCACTATGTTTCAATTACTATACTAAAATTCTTCTCACCCATCTCAAGCGCTAAAATTTTGCAGGGCAAAGCGACCACGTTATTTACATTTATATTTTGAAGCTTCTGAAATAAAATACAGATAACAACACGGATGATGCCATTTTTCATGGAATTTATTTTGGCATCAATTATTATTCAAACGATGCTGGTTTCTTTCAGTAACTAAATATTATAAAATATCCGTGACTCATCATGACGTACACAAAATCATTTTAATGATTTCAATAGATGATTTTCTATTCTAGTCTATTAAATACAATCAAACAATACAAGGTAATTATTTAAATCCATGGATATATAGGGGGATATCCATGTTTGAATCGCTTGTTTTAGATAATAATAATTGTTTGAAATTTCAATTTTTTTGGAAACAAGTTACTATGGTTATATTACAAAGAATTAAAAAATTAAATTTAAAAAAAATTATTCGTCATTAAAATTTGTTTGTTGTTATGTTAACGATTATACATTATTATAGCGATAGCCTATAATTTTTAGGTGATTACACGGTTTTTCCAATTAATGTAAACAAATAACAATGGCGACGCAGAAGTCTCGCATCACCGAAAAACTTCAAAAACGCGAGGAGGAGCGAATCAAAAATCAGCAAGCCAAACGGAACGACAAACCGGTTTTTCATTTTGCTGAGGAAACGGAAGAACATTTCAAGAAAAAATTCACCGATCTCCAGAACGAGTTAGAATTGTTGCTGGCTGGTGTTCGGAAGATTGAAGCTGCTTACGTTTCTTCGAAGCTTGAAGGAGTTGAAGAGGCCCAAGAAAAACTGAACACTATGCAAGTTTTTTATACTAACAGTTCAGGTTTCATATCTTCATTTGCCAGAAAATCTGCTCAGAGTGTGATAACCAACTTAACAAAAAGTATAGAAGAAATTAAAGATTCTTGCTATGTAAATAAAAAGTTCAGCTTTAAAACAAATAATAATGCTAAGGGTGTGGATGAAGTTGATAAGGTTAAACCTCAAAACAACATTATTAAAAAAGACCATAAACTTTTCAATTTTGACTTAAATTTAATAGACATTGTAAACTTGGATAATGTTGAAATTGCGAAACAAAATGATGAAATCCTTAATAAAGATATAAGGATTTCAAATTTGACTAATTGTACAGTTAAGTTGTACGGTCATCCTGGTGCCATTCACATTGATAGGATTAAAAACTGTAAAATATTCATAGGGCCAGTAAAGGGTTCAATATTAATAGAGGATTGCTCGGATTCTAAGATTATTGCAGCCTGCCAACAAATGAGAATCCACAAAACTGTTCAATCGCATTTTTACATACATGTTACTAGTAGAGCCATTATTGAAGATAGTAATAATGTCAAATTTGCCCCTTTCAATTGGAATTATGAAGGTGTAAAAGATCATTTTAATGAAACTGGTTTGGATTTAGAGAAAAATAACTGGGACCTGGTTGAAGATTTCAACTGGCTTGTACCTAACACACTCTCACCTAACTGGTCAATTTTGCAAAAAGAAGATAGAATGAATTGGGAATAACATTTTTTACATGCATTTTTTTTTATTTACATCCACTCCTTTTTTATTTTTTGATTTCATATCATAGTTTTTTTTTTATTGAAAATATATAGGAACATTGACATTAATTCAGTCTTGTGTTACTTTATTTCAGTATTTTTAGACTTATGAGTATTTCATAACTTAGTACAAAATAACAACAGTGTCTTTGCGTTCCTTTATTCGTAGCAAACGTTATAAATGTCTCAATTTCAGTTTTTATCATGACAAGCCCACAGGTTATTTTAATAAATGAAGCAATTTATTCACGCGTGAGGTTGTTTTAGTTTTTCTTTCGAGACCAATTTTACTGATGGCATACGCCGTGGTTTGATGGTGAGTGGAGACTAAGGCTAGTGTTTATACTGATAGGGTAACATTTCTATAAAAACTCAAGAGATGTAGTCAGCTGGACAGCTTTGGTCACTACTGTGGAATTGTGTGCTGAATTTGCTCTATCGTTTTTTCCGTTTGACACCTGCACTGAAATCAAATTTTTATATTTTGTTACAAAAACCTGTTATGGCTAATAAATATTGGTGATTTACTGTGTGACGGCGCAAACACATTCCAGTAAGTGTTATATACAAGTACTATGCTTCATTCCAAAACAAAAATTGCATAGCTTTCCGAAGTCTTTAGTAAATGGAATATTATATTTTCAAATCTAAATTTTCAAAATATATATAATATTTTAGTGTTTTAATGAGATTACGAGATTAGATAAATCCTTATAATTTGCATAGTTTTGTTTGGCCTTCTGCGGCCTTCTGGAGCTTGGCAACGTTAAATTTATTAAAAGCGAATATTTTCTTTATTCGCTACTGATCTAATCTCGTCATTTTTTTAAATTGATTCAACATGGCGGACGTTTCAGACGAACAGGCTGTCGTTGTTTCTGATTCCAGGGAGGGTTCTGATGAGGTTGATGAAAATGACATCAGTTCTAACGGAAATGTACAAGAAGATCTCCCGGTATAAACTTTGAATAAGCTTTTTATTTTCTTTTAGTTTTTTGTTGTGTCATGTGCTTGATTTGATTTCAGTTCTGTTTTTTTTTATTTTGTTGTCTTTTTGTGAGTTGCTGTTGTGTGTCGTTGACATTTTAAAATTAAATTCTAAATTATTAAACAAAACAAAAAAAAAATGACAAACTAAAATTGCTAATTTGTTTTTTAAAAGACTTTTATGCTTTGTGGCACTTTGAATGTGTAGTTTTTTTTATTATATTACCAAAATAGCCTTTGTATTTTATCAGATAACTGCTTCTCAGGGTCAAGGTCAAACTCAGCAGCAAGGTTTCAATGGGTGGTCTGTGTTTAAGACTCTGCTCTTTCGAATGCTCATTATATATATGATAAGCCAGTGGTTTCGCAAATCAAACACTCCGACAAATAAAACTTCAGATGGACAACTTCAGGGTCCTTTCCCGGCTTCTAATATTTTTGGAAAAGAAACTTACATGGTGTGTTCTGCTTTTTGGATTAAAATATTTTTTAGATATATTTCCTTATGTTCTATTTTTGTAAAATAATGTATTATTTTAGGACTTGTATGTGTACATAACAGAAGAAGAAATGATGACAAAATTTGATGAGTCTAATTTGTTTTGGATGGAGGAAGGCATGCCATATGATGGTTGGACTGGTGGCCAAGATGGGGAGGGAACATACACTATGACAGGAAAACTGCCCATTTCAGAAGTGAAATTTTAACAAAATGTTATTTCATTATTAGCTTATGAATTAATTTTGCTTTATTAGAAATATTATTTTTGTCAATTTTTTTAATGCTTTTAATTAATTATTGTTTATTTATTTATTGTTTAATTGTTAATTTATCAATGCTGAATTTGTTTGTTGCTGGTTTACAATTTTTGAGATTTGTCATTTGTAACTATTTACAATGGCCTAAGCAATACAATAATATTTTATGTCTTATTTTAAAAAAATTGAATCAATGAAAGATATTGATGATGAAATTTTAAAGGTTAAATGAATTTTCGTTATATGCTTTTAAGTTGTATTTTTTTTCTAGAAGTAGTTTCAATTCTTGTGTTTATAAATAGTAACTCCCAAATATATCTTCAGAGTGTCCAAAACAATGGCTCGTTGTACATTCACGTTTACTTTGTCAAAAATGGTTTCTCACCAAACCCATCTGATGTTGAGAGGTACCATAGTCAACATGTTGTCTACAAGAAGAAATGTTAGTCTATCCATTTTAACAATCTTTATTTTCTTTTCTCTTCATTTTGATAAAAATTTTTTGTTAACTTCACTGTGATAACATAAAAAATTTACAGTGCTGAACAAGTTTAAGAAGCGTCGTTTTCACACAATGAAGAACCTGCTTACGGGCACAACTGATGCACACGCTGATCTTGTGAGGGTAAGTTTGTATCAATGAATATTCAATATCACTATATCATTTTGTTCTTCAAAGTTTCTTTATGTGATGTAAACAGCAGGTCTTTCATTTGTATTCATTTTAATACCTTATCAAAATAATTATAACTCATTGTAGTTATCTTCATTATATTTTCACTGACTTGTAATAATTTATTTCTTAACTTAATATTTAGAACTGGGGATGCTTTTTTGCATAAAATTATAGTTTTAATGTTCAAAAATTATTTTGAATATTTTCAATGAACAAAATGTGAATTAAGATCTACCTAGTAATTTTGTATTTTCTCTCTACGCAACAAAATTCAGAATGCAACTGAGAGTAAGTTTGAAATAATCTCTCACTGGCATCCGAATTTGACCATCAACCTGGTTAACGATCAGACTGGCTTTGTTAAGGGTTCAATACCAGCCCCACTTGATGAATGTTTGTCTCTCTTAAATTTTGTCTCACAATTTTTAATAATTTTGTTTTAAAATATAAAAATTTGCATCAGAAAGTCTGAAAGTTCAAGCAAAATGAAAAATTATAAAAGTAAAATGATTTGTTAATGAAATTATCATAAAAGTCTGAAGTTATCATGATCTAAATGATAAAAGATTGAAACATTTTTACTTGCCCATTCACACAGATGTGGTATTCTTGCCGGGAGATATCCACTACTATCCAATTTTGTATTTCAACGATTACTGGAACCTCAACAGTGAATATACACCCATCAATTCCACCACCAAGTTGGTCTTGTGCTATTTTCTTCATTCAGTTCATTTTTGTGTTTATTACTTTTCTCTAAATTTTTTTCTTTTAGCACTGTTTTAAAATGAGTTATACTTCAACTGATGTTTTTATTTTGACTTCAGTATAAATAGTGGGTTTATTATAGCCTATGGGTAAATACAAGCATACTGTTACAATGAATTAATTAGTCAGTTTTTACTTTATCATTATGTTATTCACTCTGTTGACATTCCTCAGAGGATTGTACTGTTGTTAAATGCTTTGTTGAACAAATAACTTTTTAACTCTCTTCTGAACAGTTACATTGTTAAATCGTAAAATTTTGAGTTGATATAATGTATTTAAATGTTGCAGGGTTTTGAACTTGACGCTGACATACTACCCCCTCTCCCTGTTTAAATGGCAGATGTATGCAGCACAAGGAATGCAGAACAAGTGGTTCAACATGTTTGGTGAGGATCTGGTGGAAAATAATGATGAGGAGCAAGATTCACTCAAGGTTGGATTTTTGAAAAAAAAAAAATTTTTTTCATATGAATTAAATTTGTAAAGTAACACATATTGTTTTGATTAATTGAAATTGTGTTTGCTAAATGATAATAATTTACTTTCTTTGTGAACTGCAGAGAGCATTCATAGAGACGAATCCATATCTTCTGTTTATTACCATTGTTGTCTCCCTTGTCCACAGTGTTTTTGAGTTTCTAGCTTTCAAAAATGGTTACTGAGATTTTCATCACATTTACAATAGCAGTGTTTATTTTTCAGTTTATTCTCGGTCATCTGTTTATTTTCTAATGTCATTTTTTCATCATGCTGATACCAAAGGTTGCTTTGTTTAAAAAGTATTTTAATTGATAGCCATGACTTATACATACTACTCAAAATAGTTTTGTAGACATCATCACTTGCACACAACAAATAAATTTCAGACATCCAGTTCTGGCGCAATCGTAAATCTCTGGAAGGATTGTCTGTTCGTTCGGTTTTTTTTAATGTTTTCCAATCAGTTGTTGTTCTCCTCTATGTTCTTGACAATGAGACCAACTTTGTTATCAAAGTAAGTTAGCCTGATGGTTTTTATTGTTTTTCTGTTTACTATGTTGCTATGAACGTTAATACATTATCAATCAAAACTTATTCAAATGCATGCATGCTTCTGCCATTTATTTATGTGCACATTTTTTGTCCATGTAATGTAACCATATTTCAATCATTTGTTTTTATTCATTCTTATATATCAATACTTATTTTCTTTGTACAATCAGGTCAGTGTTTTTGTTGGATTGCTGATTGAAATTTGGAAGATTCAAAAAGTTATTGACATCCAGGTTTGTTAGTTTTCTTATAATTAGCAGCCTCATCCTATCCAGTCTTCATCTTTGTTCTGTTAGCATCTGATACTTTCCACCTGATATCTTATGCAATTAAATTTTGTATTAATTTAAAAATGTTTCAAGAAAAAGTTTAGTTAGATTCTATTTTCTTTTGTTCAACTGGCTAACTGTGTTTGCATTCAACTAATTGTTCAGTTGGACAGAGAGAACAAGTGGTTTGACAGGATACCAATGATTAAGATCAAGGATAAGTCAACGTACACTGAATCACAGACGAAGAAATATGATCTCGTAAGTTCATATTTCTTGGAACTGCTTGTAACAGTCTCTCACAAGTTTTGATCATTAATAATTTACAGATGGCATTCAGATATCTCTCGTGGTTGTTATTCCCACTGTTGATCTGTTATGCCGTCTATTCAGTCTTATACCTTGAACACAAGGGCTGGTACTCCTGGGTGCTCAGCATGCTCTATGGCTTCCTACTCACTTTTGGTTCATTTCATTTCGTCATCATTTATTTAATTACATTAATTTAATTTGGCTTGAATATTTTGAATGATGTTGACAATGTAACTGAATGTAACAGTTTGCTGTTGATATTTAAAGGTGACTATTTAACTTAATGCTGTGATGTTAATGATGTTTTTGTATAACATTATTATTCTTGCAGGTTTCATAATGATGACACCTCAACTGTTCATCAACTACAAATTAAAGTCAGTGGCTCATCTGCCATGGAGGATGTTGACATACAAAGCACTGAACACCTTTATTGATGATTTGTTTGCTTTCGTCATCAGGATGCCCATGCTCTACAGGCTGGGATGCTTCAGAGATGGTCAGTTCCCATCTAATTGCAACTTGTCTCCAATTAACATCAATAAAGTTTACAAAATGAATTAATCTCATTACTGTATGCTTAATGCTTTATTTCAGTTTGTCTTAGTTTTGTTTGCCTGGGACCATTAAATTTTTTTTATTTTTTGGCGTATTTATTTTAGGTTTTCCGTTTTGCTCAAAACTGTATAAGCGTGCATATAAATCTACCGACGTGAATCAATTAATAGTTAATTTATATAATGTAATTGTTTTCCAGACATCATCTTCTGTATCTACCTGTACCAGCGTTGGATCTATAGAGTTGATCCTAAGCGTATCAATGAATTTGGAACAAGTGCTGAGATGATGGAAGATGAAACATTGCAAACACCTGCAATCACTGCATCACCAACACCATCATCCACATCATCCACATCACCAGAAAGTGTTGAAGCTGATAAAACCATTGAGTCGCGTAAGTTTTGATGATAGTGATGCTGAATATGAATATAAAAAGATGATGTTGATGAAGACGAATATGTTAACTGGAGTGATTGCATCAGATGTCTGAAACGGAATTATTCTTATTAATTTTTATTTTGTTTAATTTTGACATACTACAACAGCTACTTAGTTTTTGCTTGTTTTTCAGATAAACCTGATCATAAAGTACAGAATGATACAAAAACGAAGTCAAAAGCTGCAAAGAAAATTGATTAAACCTATTTGTTGTCCTATTGAATTTCTACGTAACTGAACTTTTAACAGTTTTGTTGTAGGAAAATCATACTTAAATATTTATTATAAATTAGTTAATTTATCTTATCTGCAAATTGCAGTGTTTTATAGATTATTTTCATTTGTTTAATTATTGATATTGCAATTTTTAAGAAACACATTGACTTAATTAAGACCTATATCATCGCTTCGTTCATTCATTCATTCATATGGTTTTTGAACCAAAAATTTTTATTTTTGTCATTACAAATTTTTTCACTGAACATGAAAATGTCACAGGTCAAATTTTATTTTTGTGTAATCTTCTCTACCTAATTAGATTATGCATATAATATATAATACATATAATAATATATAATAATTTTTGCTATTTTCCCATTATTTTTTAGAAAACTTTTGATCATCTGTTCATTATTGAAATTGGCATAGTTAAAATTATTTCTAATTAACCATCCTCATTTTCTCATGGTTTTGAATCTAAGTTTTTGATGAAAGTTTTTTTGTCATTTTAATTTTAATAAATATCAAAATACAACAGAAAATGTTACAAATGTTTTTTAGGCCTCATGAAAGCATTAACTGGTATACATTTGGTTAACTATTTTAACTATTTTTGTGGTAATCTCAGTAGTTTTGTGGTAAACTCTCCACTAATGTGCACCGAATGTTTAATGTTAGTTAAGAATAACATGTGGCTAGCCCTACATTTGACGGAACTGCATTATAAAGAATAAAAAATTTGATTATTGTGGAATCGAACTAAATTATACAACCTGGACATATATTATTAAAGATATTTTATAATGATCTGAGAAATGGCCTAAAAGTGTTCATGTAGTTCATCTGCTTCGGATACCATTATCTTAAGTAGTGTACATTCCAACTACAACATAGTGTTAAAGATCGGGTTTTGTGGTGCTCGATGGTCGCTAATGTCCTGAAAAGATAAGGCACGAAAAAGAAGAAGTGTGTAATAAGATAAATTCAACAGGAAAATTAGTGTGAAATCTTATAGGATCTTTATTACAAAGATATTGTAATACAAGCGTTACTTTGTGTAACTTTTGTTATCTATATATATGGGTTGGGTTACGGGCTCATAGATGTTTTACTTCGATTTCTTTGGTTGTTTACTTATCTCTCTTCGCAAATGGCGTAAGATTTAAAATCGGTCGTTTAATTATTTTCTTTTAAATTGATATTATTATTGGATATGTTTGGATACTAAATTGATATTGAAATATCAGGCAATTTATATTTATGGCTGACTTGGATTATTTAATTCAATTATTTGTTAATTTTATGTTCAATTTTGTCATGCTTGTTCCTTCCTGATTTTCTTTTGATTTTAATGTTTCCATGCTTTGTTTTAATTTAATTTTCAAGTTTTGTTTATTAGTAATTATAATTTGGTTTGCGTTTGTTTGGGAACTGGTGGTTGTTTTGTTGCAATAGAAATTTTTTATATTTAAAAATTTTAAATTGAAATGTATGATTTGGTCCTCTTTCATTGTTTCATTTTTTACTAGGGTTAGTTAGTTATTAGTAATGCAATGGTTAGGAAGGCCAGTTAGTTAGTCAGTTACAATAAGTAATCAATATGAATATCATTTCATTTAATTTTGGCAATTAAAAGCTCTTTTCAGTAAAAAGTAAATCATCTGGCTTTTAAAGTTTAAAAACAATGACTAGTTGATTGAAAATTATATCAATGTTTCATTTTTATAAGATAAATTGAACAAACTTGTTTTACTTTGTTATAGCTATTATTAAAAACTATTTTAATCTTCATGGCTATTGTAGTGTAATGTTTGACAATTATTTCATCAAAATAATAGAGAGAAAAGAAACCATATATAGACTATCAAGGACTTATTATTACTTAATCAATTGCCAATTGGAGATAGAATACAAGAAAGTATGGCTGCCTCATCAGCCGACTTGGAGACCACTTCACTGAAGTCGAACAAGTCAAGTACAATAATGCAATGGATGCTGACAAAGTTTCATGTCAAAGAAAAAGTAATTTTTGATTAGCGTCTTCTTTTACATTTTTTAAATTAGTTATTTAAATAAGCTAAATAGTAAATTAAGTGTCTACATGCAAACTGTGCATGTTGTTAAGATTAAGTTTATAAATTTAAAGCCATAAATTTAATTTTTGAAGTAATAAATTAAGATTTGATTTAAAAATAACTTCTTCTTTGGTTAGCATTTTGAGGGCATTTAATAATTTTGGTTCTTTCTTGTAAGCTTTTTAAATTATAATAAAAGCCGTATAAAATATTTGATGTGAGATTATTTGAATTTAAATGATTTTCTTTTTTCAAATTATGTGCTTTTTATTTTGTAGGAATCACTTTTAGCTACCTTCAGAAATCAGTTGGAAGATAATCGCACACTAAAGCGAAGATCATCGTTATTGTTGAAACAGCATGAAAGAAAATTTCATCCATCTGTCACATCAAATCTTGCTCTCAGTCTTAATAACAAAACTTACAAAAAGTAATTGTCTTTATTTATTGTAAATTTATCAATATTTGGCTTCTAAGTTGTCACATTTTTATTTGTTTTGAAGGAAAGTATTTGCTTATCTTTCATTCTTCAAATTTTTAAAAATTCCTGCCTTTGGGAGGGGCAATTTGCTTCTATGTTAATACCAGCATTCAAAAACGGAAAGCTTCAGTTGTTAAGGGCACCCATTTGATGGTGATGAATTTTGTTTTGAACAATTTAATAACTTTTTTTACAAATCAGATTATCAGAGGAAATCAACTCTCTACTTCCACACTATGCATCTTCATGTTCTTGCAATAAATCGAACCAACTTGAAAAAAATCTTCCTCCCATTTTGCAGAGTTTATTAACTGCATCTCATAAGTGTGACATTTGCATTAAAAACAGTGAAAATGTTTGTAAAAATCCTGCAACAAATTGTGAATATGCAGCATCTGTTGATAAAGTTTCAGCTTCTGATGACAATTTATTGAGATGCCAAAATGATGGTTTGCCATGTTTGAGGGAAGTTCAATCTGATGATGAGACAACTGCATCCAACCTGCCTGTTTTTTTTGAAGAAAATAGCAGACAACATGCGTCAACAAATTCAGAAGATCCAAAATTGAAATGTTCTTGCTGCTCTGATGGGGATGTCAAATCAAAAATTTCACAACTTGAAGAAGAAATAACTGAGCTGAAGAAACAACTGTCATCCATTGTTGCCCCAAATTATCACATTCAATTCCCAAGTAAATGCTGTCATATTTGAGTAAATAAACATCCATTGAATATTTATAAATGTATAACAGGTAAACATTTCAATTCATCTGTGTTACGTAATTTATTGTATCTAGCGTTAGATCAATTTGATGTTTGTTGCCCAGCTGGTCCATTTGCGCCACCAATAAAAGCATTGCCCCCACCACCCCCACCGCCCCCGCCTCCACCACCCCCAGCACCAAAGGAGTCCTACATGTCCATATCTCAGATCATCAAATCGGTTTCTATATATTTTCATCGTTTTTAATTCCATTTGTTTATAATTTTCCGGTTGTAAATGGTTAATTTTTGAAATTTATATTTAAAGAAAAGGCGAAAGATTTTGGGATCTGTGAATGAGGATAATCGCATAAACATGACTGAATTGTTGAAGGGTATGAAGGATGTCAAGTTGAGACAGGTGGCAAGGTTGGTTGGTTGGTTGATTGGTTGCCTCACAATTACTCATTCAACATTTACATTTTTACTTGTTGAAAGACTTCAGGATGCAGATTTATGTTTGATTGCTGACGATTTATATTTGAATTTAATTTATGTTGAATAGATGATAGTCTGTTTCTGATTACTAATGTTTTTTTCAGATCGCCAGGTGGCACTCCATTCAGACCGAAAACAAAGCCTCACGAGACTGGCAATGACTTGGGCTCATTTTTATCACGTGCCCTGAAAAGAAAGTTCGCCTCAACACGAAACACCAGCCCCGACAGGAACGATGACTCGACTGATGCCAGCAACAGCAGCAGTTCCTCCTGTTGGTCGCCCTGCAAAAACGTCGGTCTGTCAGATAGCAGCTGTAGTGGAGGTGCTGGCAGTAGTGACGTGGAGGGGAGTGTAGCAGCAGACAGCAACAAAGAGAACAGCAGACCTGTTGTTCGTAGGTATTGTTAAGTGCTCAGTCCTGTTTGGTCGATTGCTGACTGATAACATGTCGTAATTAAATTTAACAGTGTTGTCCCATTTACTCCTTCTGATGGAGGGAATATTTTTTGCTGCCCACTTGCTCGCCTATCGACCCATGATAACGTAACTGGCGATGCAATATTCTCACATATTCAAGGTTTATAGAACAAATAACTTCCAACGTCGATTAAATGAGTTATAGGATAGCAAACGTGCCTTTCTTCATCACTTGTCTTCAGGCTCTTACTTGAGATTGTAGATTTCAATTCTGTTAAAACTCAGAATCCTAACTAACAAAAATGAGATGACGAACTACAAATGCGATATATTTCGATAAACCTCTCGAACATACATTTTCCTTTGCATACTCAGTTTTGATTATCAAGTTACTATTAAGTGAATGTACGTATACTTGTTACATGGATGTAAGTAAATGAAGTTCATTTTATGTACGACAAACATTGGATTAAGTGAACCGACCACACGGGCATGCATGTGTGAATGTGCATGTTACACACAACTTTTCGTGAAATAACATCTGTTCATAAAATCATTTTCAGATCGCATCAAACGTTTTACGACCAAAAAGTGAATTTCATTTGATGAAGACATCGCTAAGTTCTTTAACTGTGGTCAGAGAACCGGTGGAGGAGTTAGAGTGAATGAACGAATGAACACGAATGAATGAATTGATGAACATATGACTAGATGAATGAATGAGCATAAATGGATTAGTGAATAAGATACAGCAAGCATGCATTCTTCTGGCATGGCATTCCTTTGTTATAAGTGGCTACTATAATATTCTCTAATTAGAATTGAGTGATGTAAATGATAGAATTTTTTCTATATGATTTCGATATAATTTATTGATAATTTTAAAAAGTGGCATTTTGGCTTGCATAAGAAGTGAACGAGTGAAGTGAGGTTTTAATTGGTTTTAATTAATTAGTGTAAATAATTGTTATGCCGTACATGTTATCGAGTATGAATCAGGATTTGCATTCACCTGTCTTTTTTATTATACCTCTTTCTTCATCCCAATTTCTAGTGGATCAAATAAAATTTTAAAATTCAATTAAGTTACTTACTTACTGCGTGACGACATATTATCAATACAATCGATGATGCCTACAGTCTATAGGGAATAAATAACAACAGCGACATATAAGGCGTAATTTTGATTTGCTTATATAAAAATCTGGTGAGACCAGCCAGCTATGTATTTGTTGAAATTAATTGTTTTACTGTTTTAGCTATTTTATGATGAATATATTTCAATTAATTTTCAATTATGTGCTATATATTTTTATCGTTTTTTATGTGTTCATTAATCTTTATCATGTACATGTGCGTGTGTATATATATATATATATATATATATATATATATATATATATGTATATATATATATATATATGTGTGTGTGTGTGTGTGTGTGTGTGTGTGTGTGTGTGTGTTAATGTATATATATGTATGTAAATGTATATATATATTAATGTTGTTTTTATTTAAATACAACTAAAGTGCATTATTCTATGCATTATACCGCACTATCATTGAAACTGTAAACTCTTCAATATAACTAACCTTCATCCAATGCTTCCTTGTGTTATGTATATATAATGTTATACGGATGTAAATCTTCGTACGATCTGTTTTCCGTTTTCATTGACAGAACTTTTTTTTTTATAAATTAATTAATTTTTTTAAACGAACTTGAATGTATGAAGTTGAGGGTAATAGGATGGAATAGGTTGTGATGATGAACTGTGGGTGAGGTAGGTAGGTATATGTAGCTTCATTCTGATGGTTGTGATGGATCTTTTTTACTGTAATGTGTTTTACATTCATACTCTGCCTGTATTTTTACATGTACTTCCACTAACGACAACTTCGAATTAACAATAAAATTTATTCCAACGACGTTCTACGACTTTTTCTTACGCTTTTCTTGAAAAAATTAAATTTGCACAATTATCCTATTTTAGGCTTTTTATTAACACACACACACATAAATATATACACTACACACAGATAATTATATATATATATGTATATATATATGTATGTATATATATATATATACACATAAAAACTAATGAATGACGAATCTATTTATCTATTGTCCATACAATTTTTAAAGATTAAAAGTTAAACGTGTCTCGGCAAAAATAAAATTTAAAAAAAAATAATATCGAAATTTGAAATGAACATTCACTGAGCACCTTCAAATAAAAATTTTAATTATCATCAGTCCATGAAATATCGTATTGTTTGAAAGACCTCAAGCATGCATTGCATAACTTCGCACCATTCATAATGTTAATGCATAGCTCGTTACAGATGATCGCTCCAGTCTATCAGTGATTAATTTATGTGAATTATAAAAATGCTATTTAATATTTATTTCATGTTCTTGATGTTATGATCATCAAAGATCAAATTATACTTAAAAGCTATAAAACCATTGAAACAAAACTTTCCACCATTTTGTATCAAATTCAAATTTGAATTCATCTTTTGTAGCTAGCTGCCATAGTTTTAATATATACTCATAGCATACCGTGCCAGCGTGTAAAAGAAATTTTTCAAAAACGACAATTATAATTTATTTGGACGGCTGATATTAAACTAAAAGCGTTATATCATATTTCAACATAATTTGACAAAAGTGTATAACATGAAATATTCTGATTTATTGTTATTTCATCAAATCCGTGAAAAATTCTCTTAACCGATTGTATAGCTAGCATTTATGGTATACATCGTTTTAAAATGATTTGAGCAACAGGTAAATAAATCATAAATAACAATATATTGCCAGCCCATTATGTAGGCTTGTTGTTATGAAGCAAGTTTAATTGAATTAATTTGTTGAACGTATTATTGACTAGTTGAATTGTTGAATATGTTGGTAATATAGTATGTTGCCATTTTATTGAAACTAGTTGCACAACAAAACTAAACGAATCAACAACTACAAAACTCAGAAATCGTATTGTTTCTGTTTCCTAAAAAGACAAACAAAAATCTTTTTCGGAAAAGTTCACAAAAATGTTAACTTAACATGAACGGATATTCGTAATTGAGTGAGGAGACGTAGACATTTAATTTCATTCTCAGTGAATTAATAAAATACGAACACTGCAAAATGATAAGATCGGTTTAAAAATTATAAAAACATTCAATGCACTCAAAATTTTAATTGTGATGTTTGATAACTACGATTTTACTGCAAACATTGCTAATCTCTTTTTAGGATTTGCATTCCAATAAAAAATAAAATTCAAAGTCCTAAGTTTGAAAGTAAAACTATCAATTTGAAAATTGCTTCAAATGGGTTTTAATGGTTTTTTTAAGATTTCGGAAGCAAGGGAAGTGCCTCGATGTCGTTTGTAGGACACAAAACCGTGGAACAACTTGTCTTTTTTGCAGAGTTGCTCACGGAAACGTCCATGAACCTGAGTATAGCCGGGGAGGATTTGAAGGGCAGACTCGGGAGACGAGAGGGTGTCTGCTTAGGTATGCTGTTGTTTCGAGCTGTACATTTCAAATGAATAGCACAGATTTTTAACTGGTAAATAAGATTTTTGTTTTGCAAAAAATAAAACATAAGTGAATAAATGATAAGCAATTTAAACGCAATTAAGATTCTTGAAAAATTGAAAATTTTTTAAAATATGAAGTACGCTTATTCGAAAACTCCCATTCAATTTTACTCTGATTTTTTGATTTTCGAGTGGATGTGGCCATAGAGATGGGTTTGTTTGAATTGATCATGCTATGCATATTTTGAAATATTATAAATTGACAACTCTTAAAATTTAGTTAAAACTTAAATAATTAAAAAAAAGTTATAAAATTCAATACCAGCCTGTATTGTAAACAGATGTATCTGGGTTCGTCTTCTCGAACTTGTAGAACAAGTTGTTAGAATTATTTTCTAAAGCAATAAAAATATTTTTTTTAATATTTCCACCGTCCATTATTGCAGAATATTCAGAACCTGCTGTATTTTTAACATTGTTATTGCGGTTGCTGGTGACAACATCATGGCTGACGAGCCTCGACGATAGATGGCTTACAATGGACCCGTCACCGGCTAATGAGGATGCAACTAAGGACTTGGCTCTTTTTTTATTTGTAACATATTTTGGATGCTCTATTTCACTGGTCAGCGAGTTTTTCCTGCGATTGTTTCCGTAAGAAAATGGTGTTAGTAAAAAGTTGTGAAGATTGAGACTGGTTACTTTAATATCTCTTGCTTGATTGGGTGCATCAATTTTCAAGTTGAACTGGTCGGTTACGCTTGATTTTACATTAAAAACTGCTTTGTTGTTTGACAGGTTGTCATTGTTATTAACGTTAAACTTGCTAGGAACTATATCGCTTGCATGGGATATTTTTCTACTCGAATCATTCTCAGATATTTTGATGATCTGTGTTTGCATATCTGAAAGTGGATAACTTGAACGTCGTTTTTGAGATTCAAACCATCGATTTTGACATAAAGATAGAACCATTTCGCTATAGTGGTGTGATATTCTACCACCCGCCACTTTGCATTGCTCAGATTTATTATCTTGAGATGAAGATGTTTTTGAAAAACTGGATCCTGATTCGTGCTCTCTTTTCGAGTCAGCAAAAAGTTGGCACATGAACCTTTCGTTTGATCTTTTGAACGAGGTCGATTTTGTAATGCTTTTTATTCGTCCGTTGCTGTTTTTGTTATTGGCGTGTACGTTAGTGTAGCTGTTGTCTCGTTGAAGCAGTGCTGTCTTGTCGTCGTGTCTGTCGTCGTCGATGTCTTCATTATCGTTCTCCTGCTTGTCGGGGTTGGAAGAACATTCGGACAGCGACTCCAGCTGGTTCGAGGACGGATTGCTGGTTACGCTCCAACCTCTTGACGATGAAGTCTTCATTGGGTTGATGGAACTGCACGCTGTACCTTCAGTTAATTTGTCTATTTCAATTTTTGTTTAGTTGAAATTAATTTAAAAATTATCAAAATAAAATTTTTTTTTACGAACAACAAAAAAAATTAGTTTTAACTTATGTTAAAATGGCGCATTAAAATAAATAAATTCAATATGAATTACCAATTTCTAAAATGCGAGCAAGTGGCAAGCTGCATCTTCTATGTTCAACAAGATGATGATGCACAGCAGTCGTCGACTGTGGCGAATATTTTGAAGCTGCTGGTAAACTGGACCTTCTTATTTCATAAAACTTTTTGTGAGGGTGCAACAATTTTTTTATGAAACTGCCCTTGTGGCTGATACCGCTGAGACTGTAGCTGCAGTTGTCATTCGAGTTGTTGCGGTTCACGCTGCCGTTGCTACCAATGTTGTCGTCGGTACAATGCTCTTCCAACAAGTCATGTTTTTTCGTCGGGTCATAGTTTTCTTTATTTAACTTCTTTTTCAAACTAAATGTCTGAAACTTGAATTTCCGTCGACAAGATGACGAAGACGAGTATGATGACGACCGCGTTGTTTTCTGTTTATCTTGTGCGTTATTGTTTGCCGCACCATCGTTCAAATTATCATCGTCATTATCACAAATTTGCCGCTGGATATTGCCACTTTTTTTTCCATCGTTTTCGTCATCATCGTCGTCGTCGTCATCTTCCCAGTCCAGAAAGGAAACGAGAGTGGTGTTGGATTGTCTTCTGATGCTCCCATCCACTTCCTCGTTCTCCTTCTTTTCGATCTCCGCCCACTTCACGCGATTGCACCTCAGGTTGAGAAGCATCTGCTTGCTTCGGTGCGACGGAGAGAACTTGTCCCACTCAATGAAGAGCGGCTCAACTATGAACGACATGAAACCTGCTCGGTCGTTGGTGGTGGTTGGTGGTGGTTGGCGTAAGTGTATAAAAATTTTTGAAAAATAAAAAAATACAAAATAATATTTAAGCATTGTTAAAAAGTTCAGCCATTTGCAGACCATTTGAATGACGACGGATGAAAAATATATTCTTAAACTTTTTTGAATTTTTTTTAATTGCCACGGGTTTCACAACCAGCAGAACACACAAGACAAGACACTCATGAAGAGCTCATCAACTGGCTGACACGTAACAACGGACGGATGGATAGGCTTGCATGTTTTCTTTGTCAATTTGTTTCATGTTCTAACTCACATTCGTCAACAATGTTGTAAAACATAAATTCACATATCAACATTTTGAAGCGGCTGATAAGCTCAAGTAAGTTATCTAAAAATTAGAAGCAAGAAGCGTCATGACCAGTTGACGACTGCTGGTCGTCTGCTGACGACCAGCTGCTAGAAGAAATACTATATAGTGGTGGAGTGATGTAAAACACACACCCACATATATACCACACACGCCATACTACTGCCACACCACACACACACACACACACACACACACCACACACACACACACCACACACACACACACACACACACTCACACACATGGAGGCAAACATGCATGCGTACATATTTTTAGAACAAACATTTTAATTTAATTCAAACTCTGTATGCGTCCAACATTCCAAAAAATCAGATCGATAAATAAAAAAATGGATGGAAGAACAAACTAACGAAAAATGAATGAACAAAAAATAAATATACAAACGAACGAACCATTGAATGAATGAATGAATCAATGAATGAATGAATCAATGAATGAATGAATCAATGAATGAATGAATGAATAAACGAATGAATGAACGATTGAACCACTTAACCTGTTTGAATTTTGGCGGTGGTCGATTGCGTTCTGTCGTAAGCAGTGGTTAGAGGTAGGTTCAAATCTTTCTCCCTGTCCCCTACAAGGTTATTCCATATGTGATGTGATGTTACATGTTGCATGACGTCATATGTGATGTGATGTTACATGTTGCATGACGCCATATGTTACGTGATGTCACATGATGATGTTACGTGATGATGTGATGTGATATTACACGTTATACGTGATGTGATGTTACATACTGCTACAAGCTAAATGTTACATGGTGATATTGTTTCACGGCAGGTGCTGCTTAGTGTTGTATTCAATATTCTTTGTGATAAATGATGTTATAGAACATTGAGTTTCAGTGATTAAGTATAAATAGATGCAATAACCGACTATTAACCCAAGTATAAAGAAAAAGTATCAATGATATGCAGTGGCATGAAACCTCAACCTCTATTATTTTTATTACCATTATTATTTTACGATGAAATTGAATTAAATTAATTGAGAGAAATGATATTAATAATAATAATATTATTAATAATATTATTCTTATTATCATTGTAAATTAAATGTTTAATGTAACACTGAATACATTATACGTGCTATCCCCAAGGTGTACAATGCACATGGAAGACAACAACAACAACAACAACAGGCAGTGTCAACAAATGCACTCGAAACATTCTGTTGCTATGTACCAATCTCAAACAGAAACACGACTGACGCGTGCCACGTTAACTGCCAGCTACCAAAATATTGACGTCACTTCAAACTTTATGAAACTGTCATGTTCGTTTGATATGTGCTACATCAAAAAAAAAACCTCTAGTTATAATGTTTATCTTTGTAGAAAAGCTTAGAAAGCATTGACTGACCCTGTCTGAAAAATTCCTCGCAGATCAGCTGGCTCCACTTGCGGCTGACCTTCCATGATCGACATGGGTTGCAGATGTCGGCACATTTCAATGCTATCTATTGTTGTTTCAAAATTCGTTTTCTTCATTAATTTTTCCAACAACAACTTGAATGAATAAATTTGAAAAATTTGTTTCAAACAAGTTTGCTTGAATACAGACACGTTGGCTTTTCCTATTCGTGACATTTTGAAATTAGAAAATTGAAAAGTAACGAAGCTTTGGAAAAAATATCACTCCCGATGTGTTCATTTACTTAAACTGCATTTTTGCAGGCGATAATATCTCGGTGCTGCAAAAGTGTTGTCGGTCGATGGAGTGGGCAGATGAAATGGTGAGAGATAGCAAGTGCATGAAAGAAAAATATCGACCTAACCCTAACCCATACCGCACCATTTGGGTTTATACAAATATTTGCTTATGCAGCCATCGCATTTATATCAATAAGTGTGAGAGTTGTATAAATAAAAATACCCACACCTAATTTTGTTTAGCAATATACATGAGTGAAAATTATTGATTATATTATTGATTGCAAATACTGTCGTTTAACCACTACTCATTGAATAATTTAATGAGCGTAGAGGAGATGAGACAGAGAAAATGTTTTGCAAGTTGTTTGCAGTGCATGTGCATCCGTCCTGCCGGCTAAATTGATTAATGCAATACACCTTCGGAATAAAACTTCTATTAATAAAAATATGCAAGTTCGTCTGGGAGATTATACCTGCTCAATGTTTAAATAGGGAAACTCGAAAAACAAAATAATGGATTCTTGGATTTTATTAACCTAAAAAAACGGTTCCGACCCAATAAAAAAATATTGAAAACACAAGGTGATTTGTTTGGAGTGAAATGGTCAAATAATTCATTGATAAATAAGTTGTATAAAAAGGCATGAAATCTATTTTAATGTCGAAAATGACAGGTGCAAACATAACAATATAGTTGCAAACACCTCAGAGAGATTTCAAGCATTCAATGACAGCTGTTGAACTTGAAGACATTGAGCGTGCAGTTAAAATCTAAGGAAACAACTTGTAAACAAAAACAAAAAAAAAACAACTTTAAAACAACGTTGGTTGATATCCATGACATGAGACAACAAGACAACAACAACACATTATCAGGCAACAAACATGCCGTAAATTTGTAAAGGACGAAATTTCAATAGAACTGACTTGGAGGATGAAATTTTTATGTTCCTCGTTGGCTGACAAGTCGAACGAGCTGGACTCTGTGTAGGACTGTTGGTAGGAATAAAATAATAGCGTGTCAGAGCATAATTAATTGAACAACAACCAAAATTAAAGCTAATTTTAACTCCAAAAATAACAGCAGGCGATGTAAAAAATTTGTAATTTCTGCAATCCTAATAAAAACAAAGCCGCAAAGGCTGTTTGGGATGATCAGCCACGTGAAGCATAAAATCATCATCAGCAGTATAAAAACATACAAGCAGTATCAAAAACATAGAAAAATAGATAAAGAAACGCGCACATCAGATAGAAATGCATAATGCTTGCATCTCAAATGCTTATGAATCCTTCCTCTCCCGCTCGTAAAGATGGAACGTTCGATTGTGCGTGCATGTCTCATGGAGTGCAGCACGCACTACAGCAGATATATTCAACATTTTTATGCCCTTATAAATTTGTGCACTGGCACCATTTGGGTTTATACAAATATTTGCTTATGCAGCCATCGCATTTATATCAATAAGTGTGAGAGTTGTATAAATAAAAATACCCACACCTAATTTTGTTTAGCAATATACATGAGTGAAAATTATTGATACACATGATACACATGTACAATTGTACATCTGTATATATTATATGTATATTGCACATGTACACTGGTTTATGTACATACGTATACGAGCGTAAACAAGAGTACATTATACATATAATGTATACAACACATGCACTGCACATATATGTTATGTAGGAACAAAAAACAAAATATCTTATAAAAAGGCAGCAAGCTCTTCTTCGAATGAAGTGACCTGAGCGGTTTGTGCAAACAAAAGTTCATCACTTTAGTATTTTAGTATTAATAAAAATTAGATGAAGGCCAAAAGGAATCTAGCTTAGTTTAATTGTTTTGTAGTGGCAGTATGTAAATATTTTTTATAGCGTTATAGCTGTTAAAGAGTTACATAAATCTGGATCATTTTTTAAAAAGGTGCATATGTAAATCGTCCACATCGCAATCACCATCATCACCACCACCATCATCGTCGTCGTCGTCGTCACTTTTGTCTTCGTTATCTTCATCATAATTCCTTTGAGATATCTAATCTTAATGCCGTTACGAGATGGAGGTTTTAAGAGATTTTTTAAACTAAGAAATTTCAAGCAATTTTCAAAGTCGGCAATTAAACTGCAAACATTCAATTCCTACATGTATCAATTAAAATTGTTTGCCGCTAAAAAATGCTGATAAAAACATTTTAGGATGAAATATTTACTCATTAAACCTGCCTACCTGTCTACCTGCTTTTTCCAACAATAATGCTTTTTGTATTTGCTGCAAAAAGGTTTATGAAGGTTTATGAATGTATGTCAATGCATGTTTATGCACGTTTAGGCATGTGAATGTACGTTCGTGTATGTTTATGTTTTAGTCGAGTTCTCCAGGCAAATATTTTTATTTGCCAAACGGTTTTGAAAACTTTTTAAACTGAACGACTACAAATAAGCAATTGTTAATACTATATATATATATATATATATATATATATATATATATATATATATATCAAAACGAGAAAGTTTGTGAGAGAGAGAAAATATGTAGGAACGAGATTTTGTATTAATTGATGTATGTTAATGATAGGAGTGATAATTCACTTAAAAAGGGACATGTTCAGAGTGGCCACACATAGGAAGAAGAGTAGGATGACCAGCTGAACATGAACAATCCAGGATGATTAATGCTGGACACTGTCTTGTTCTTCCATCAAGTTCATGTTACACTTAATATTATGAAAAAGTACCTCGCAATTCATCATTTGTCTGTTTGTGTGTGTGTGTGTGTGTCTACTGGACAGACGGACTTGTACGATAGTTTGTTTATGTCTGTGTGAGTGTACGTGTTTGTCCGTGAGACTGTTGTGTGTGTGTGTGTGTGTGTGTGTGTTCATGTGCATGCGTGTTTCCTCTAATATTTTGATAGTGCTCGCGTGAGTAGCTAGGATATCGTCGGTGTAAAGTAATTCATATAAGTTTGAGAATAGTTGTTGTTCATCTGTCGGAATTGTTTAAATGTTAATACTTTTGTTAAAAAGCCATGAGAAATGTTAAATATTCGACTCATTCAAATCTTCACATAAATCTCTAGAAAATCAATTTTTTTATTTACAAAATACTTAAAATTACAGAAAAATGTCTCCAAAAATCTTCACTTACGAAGAAATATTTACAGACACTGACGACAAACACACGCCAACATTCGGACATATTAGAAATGATTTCAGAGGAGAAAGCCGGCAGATGTGAATTGCATTATGAAGCCTTACATAGGAAGGTATCATGCAACACAACTCACTATCCAGATTCTATTACTTTCCGTCTTATTTTTTCGGAAGAAAATTTTCATTTTTTCGAAATAGTATGCAGTGAAATTCATTAATAACTTTTTTATTAATGATAAATTTTTGGAAAATAGCATTCTTAATAAAAATTATTAACTACAAGACTACACCATAAATATATTTACGTGAAATAATCGGGTATATATATAAACGCAACTGTGTAAACATGTTGAGTCAAAATTGCGACACACATGTGTTGATGTTGAGTTGTTGAAATGAGAAATATCACACATCAACAGTATTGGCATTTCATAACAGTGGCAGAAATCTTGGTGCATTTGTAACTTGATAACGCGCCAAAAACAGCAACACCTTTGCTATAATTTGTTTTGCCATTGCCGTCATCATACAGTCATCATCTGCCTATTTCAGTATAATAAACATATTTCTTCACATCAATAATATTAAGTGTGATGTCATTTTAATCTCATCACTACTTTATCAAGTTACTGTCAGTAGAATTATTTTTTCGATTTATCCTCACCGACATAATCAGTTTAGTTCACTAACAACAAAAATTTAAACATGATGTATGAAAAAACAGTTGAGGCACACACACACACCACATACACACACAGACACACACAGACATACACAAACACACACAACACGTATCAACCGTCAACAATCATTTTTTTGTAAGGTATTAAAAATTTAGTCAAAATATTTTGTTTCAGTTATTTGTTATACATGAAAACATCGTTTTGAATAGAAAAATAGGCAAAAAATTGTGCGATAAGCAAAAAAATTTACCTTGTCAATCTCAAATATAATTCCAGTTTTTGACTCCCCTAAAATTTTGGCCACCACCGTCAAAGTTGTCTGGATCTACCCTTGCACACAAAAACATTTACAAACACCTACCAACACTTATAAACACACAACCCAATAATAGTACGCATTTAGAAACATCCAAAAAGGACCACATTCAAGATCACTTGTTTCATTGAAAAAAGTTTTGTCTACAAAAATTTTGCGTTCCTCTAGGCAGCCAACAAAGTTTCCTTAAATAAAGACTGATTCACTCATTACAATAACGAGGAACTGGAAAGGTGCCACCTGCCGACTGGCATGTGGACTAATTAATTAAATCAACGAACACTGATTAAGCAATTTTTTAAACGTTCATAATTAAATTCGTGAATCTGATTGGACGGAAGAAGTGATGACGTCAGCGATCCATCACGTTAAATTCATTCAGAGAAGGGTGGTTAATGGTCTGTTTGTCTCGAATGCATTATATCATTACGTAAGTTAATTTGGCAACACACGTACAAGCAACTAATGACGAAAGTCAACATTATACATGCCTGTTATAGTCACAAATATGTACGCACACCTACGTAATCCACACAAAACAGTAAAAACAGAAAATTACACATGAAATAAAAACATAGCTTATAGACAGAATGGTACGCATGATGAAAAATTTTACGATCTAAATTGTTTCCTGTAGATGACAATAGCAGCATTCTTAGAAAATGCAACGAAACGATTATAAACATGTCTGCTGAAGTAAGGGGTGCCTGCAATAATACGTTGTTAGATTTTATGTTTTCGTGTTTAATAGGCTGCAACTAATGGCATATAAATGTTGGCGATGATGTACCTCTAACGAATGCTTGCCGCCCAACAAACAAGGCTTCCGTGGCACTTTTATCTTCCTCATTCATTGTCATCATCATCGTCGTCATCGTCGTCATTATCGCCATCACCATCATTGTTATTGTCACCACTATAATCATCGTCATCAGCTGCGTAAGTATATTAGTAGCTTCAGCAGTAGCAGCAGCATTATTTTTGTTGTTATTTCAATTATTGTCCTTGTATCATTTCCATTTCCGACTATCATTAGATTCTTGTCATTAGATAAGTACAACAGCAATGAGATTGATGCACGCTTCTATTGCTCTTCGAAACTTTTCGATTTTTGCGAACGCCATCTTGGATTTATTTTTTTCTTTTCAAGTTTTTAGCAATATCATGTGGAAAATAGTTTTACAATCTTTTTTGAAGCACCATTGACACGCTAACGGGCACCACAAAACATTTGCCAGTACCTGGCGGAGATAGTTGATACTCGATAGAGAGCTAACATGTGGAAGATGTATCGAAGGATGTTGATGAAATATCAATCCTACCGTACCGTACATTGCCAATGTCTCATAAGTGGATTCAAAATTAATGACGTCTATTTTTCTGGAATTTTGTAATTTTTTCAAAAACAAATTATTCATTTTATTTAATTAGTTATTATTCGTTTATTTAATTATTTCATTCAAATATGTTATTTTTGGTTTCATACGAAACATGAATTAAAATAAAATAGCAAACTTTAACCGATATAAAAATTGTAAAAGTTTAACAAGACAAAAACCTGTGTAAACTGATCATGAAGTCTGCTATAACTTGCACTAAATAAACTACAATAACCACCGTGACAACAATAACGAAACAAAAGACATCAACAAAATATTCTCATACAACACTGATGTAATGGCAATATATAACTCCAAAAAAGGTAGAAACATTTGAGGATGGGGATATTTTGTTACTCCTCGCATAAAGTAATCGCCCGAAAAATAGCAATGATTAATCTGTTAATGTGCCAAGAGCGTGGTCAACAAGGGTGCCATGACTGTTTGTTTGTCTGTCTGTCTTTCTGTCTATCTGTCAGTTTGTCTGTCTGTCTGTCTGTTTGTCCATCTGTCTGTTTGTCTGTCTGTCTCTCTTTCCATCTGTCTGTTTGTCTGTTTGTCTCTCTTTCCATCTGTCTGTTTATTCGTCTGTTGGCTTGTCTTTTGCATAATTGTTTGTCTGTATGTTAGTCTGTTATTTTGTCGGTTGTCGGTTTGTCTGACTGTTTGGCCGGTTGCTGCAAAATTGCTTGCTTGGTTGTTTAATTGTTTACTTTCATTTTTCATCATATTTATATTTGCTTTTTGTCTATGTGTGTATATTTGTTTTTGTATACTTGTTTCGACTCTGTATGTATTTGGTTTTGTGATAGCTTTCTGTTTGCTTTTCTGCTTGCTGGATTGTTGATTTTTCAGCTTCGTTCGTTTTTCTACTTGTATTTCTGAGCGTTGGGCGTTCACTGCGATTACTAACCCTTCCTGAATTCTTGTGTGTTTCCAGTTGGATATTGGACAAAAAGCTATATAAATTCGGCAATTCTAAAAGCATTCACTTACTGATTACAAAATATTGTTGCTAAAAATCATTAAGGCAAATTTCTTATCGAATGCTTTTATTATTTATATATGATTTATAGAACATATCAACAATATTTCTATCATGAATTTGCAGTTAACGCAAAATTTTCATTAAAAATATGAGATATAAATGCTACAGAAGATTCCTTCCAAACTAAATAACGAATAGAATGAATAGGATGAACTGAATGAAATAATAAATAAATAAATGAATTCATGGGTATGCAAACAAACGGTAGAGCAGACGAGTGGATAGATGAGTTAATGAACAAACGGATAAATGGATGAATGAACGAACGAACGAACGAATGAAAGAATGAATGAATGAAAAAATAAAAGAAACTAATCATAAACTCGACTTTGAACTTTCGAAGTATCTCCTGCTGTTTGCTGATGTCTGTTGCCAGGATGAGAATCTCAATGAGGTACGTTAGGCGCTTCCTACACGGTAGTGGTGGTGGTGATGATGACGATGGTGGCGATAATGATGAAGACGATAATGGTGAAAATGATGACGATGATGGTGGTGGTGATGATGGTGATTGGGAATGGTGATAATGATTATGGCGATGATGGTGAAGACGAAGGTCATGATGATGATGATTATGGTGATGATGAAGACGACAGCCATGATGATGATGATGATGATGAGAATGGCAATAAAAAAATATTTCGAGAATTACGGTGGCAAACGATAAATGTTTATTGTTTATTATCATTGCCGCGGTGAAATCCAAAGCGCGTGTATTCAGAAAAATTAAAATAATATATAATAATAATAAATAATAATAAATTAATAAATAAAAATAATAACAATAATAAATTAAAATAATAATAATAAAATAAAATAATAATAAACATATTTTTTAAATAAAACTAAATGCCGCAATAAAAATAAAAATACTTTCGAAGTGGCAGCAAAAAGTTTTCTGTGCAAAGACAAAAACAACATTCACGAATTTAGAAAAATAAATTCACCGAGAAAAAACATTTCCTTTTATAAATAAATAAATACACACACACACACACACATACACACACACACACATATATATATATATATATATATATATAAATGGATGGACGGACGGACAGACAAACGGACAGACAGACGGACTGACGGACAGACAAGCAGACAGACAGACAGACAGGCAGGCAGGCAGACAGATAGATAGATTACACACACGCACAAACAAACGTATATACACATGATAATTAATATTAAACGAATACTAAAAACCAATTTGAGAAACCAACCACTGATGGCTGGGAAGGTGTTGGAACACTTGAGACTCGTGTAGGATGCTGATGGTGCCCTTCCAATGGTGATTCTCCAGGACCGATACACCCTGGTTGATTGGTTTGTATGTTTACGCCTGTATTTTGCTGTATTGTCTATGTTTCTGTTTGTATCTATGTTGTTGTTCTTATCTGGATTTTTGTTTATTTTTATGTTTAAATATAATAATGTATTTGTTTATGTAGTTTAGTACGTGTTTATGAAATCAAATTTTTTTATGCTCTTGTGTTCCTTGTTAAGTGAACTTGGTTCACGCCTTTGCATGCCTCTTGTTTTACGATACTTTGTATTTAACGTTGTTCACTTTTTGTTTGTTCATTTTCTGTTCGTTTATCTGTTGTTTGTCTAAATGTTTTATGTAACAATGTAACCACGTGAATTTTGCTTTGTTTTGATGGATAAAGTTATTTGCGAATATGAAACTATTAAATCATATCTTCAAATGAATTAAAAAGACCGGTCAACAATTTAATCTAATTTATTTACCAAAATGGTTTTTATACTTAAGACAAATTACAAAACACCGGCATTTAGATCTTTTTTAACAACATTTGCACACTAAGAGAAAGTTTTTATAAACCTAACACATCAGAAACGTGGAAGTCTTGAAAGTTTAATTTTGAATTTAAATTTACATATTTCTTCATTGTATACACACACAGCACACACAAACACACAGCACACACAAACACACAACACACACACACACATATATATATAATTATACAAATTGTATACAACAGAAACATGCACACATGTAGGCACACACAACAATCGAAAATAAATTTCTTTCTTGAAACAATTTTTGACTGAAAGTAACATGAAAGAAGAACATTTGGATGAGAAGATGATGCCAGAGCCTTTGCAGAACAAACGTTTTGAAATATTAACTGCTACATAACAATCTTCTGGTTCATATTGCAATTGTAGCAAGAGGAAACTTACATGACGCGTTCTGTTTTGTTGTTCTTCTACCACAGATACAACAACAACAACAACACAACATAAACAACAGCAACGTAAACAACATCAGTGTAAACACGAACCTCGGCAGCAACATAAAACTTCATAAACAACAATATTAACATAAACAATAACAACTGCATAAACATAAGCAGCAACACAAACACAACAAGGCAAAAAAAATTTCGAAAAATATTTGCAGATGTTCTTTTTTAAAATATTGCACAATAAACCACGGTGGTTGTTTTGCAGTTGTAAATCTTAAAAATAACTAGTTCCAGGCTGATAAAACAAATAAATAATTTGAAATAAGGCAGTACAATTTATATTTTTAAAATTTTGAATATGAAAAAAATTTTGTGCGTCAAGAAAAAACGATGTGAATGATTTGGACAAATATTTCCTTGCACAGCTCTGGAAGAATCTGTAAAGTTATCCGTTGCTGTTAGGAATAGCACTTTTCTTCAGTTCCTTATTGGCATCACAACACGGTGAGGAATAAATAACTGTAACACAAAAAAAATAATCAGATCATTTTTTTACAGGACGGCTCTTCCCACGAATTGTGCTTAAAACTGTTTATTTAATAATTATTATAGTATTATAGTTATATGTTATTCATATACATATATTTAATAGTATTATTTACTGATACTTATTTTATAATAATAATTTATTCTATATTTTTAAATTTAAAAACCCAATTCATTCGAGAAGTTTAAATTTTAAAAAGTTGACAAGTAGCTATAAATTTGAACTCTCAAAAATGAGATTAACTTTTAATTTCACGTGAAAGTGAGAAAATTTTAAACAAATAGATTTTGATGGTCCTTCGAAGTGATTAAATGATGGGTAGGTATTTCGAGAGCTAATAAAAAACTTTTGATGATAAAAAATATCTATTGAAACTTCAAGATGATGTCATTGAATTAGTTTTTCAATAACGTTATCTACTTATCTAAAAAGTTATAAAATTTTATGGTCGGTAAAAATGACACGAAGTCAATGTTTAATAATTTTATTATAGCCGTTTCATTTGAGGTTTAATTTGGGTTTTATTGGAAATTTTTTTTGTAAAACTTGGTCTTTTTGGTTATTTTGATGGTTTTAATTTATTTCATATTTTCATTAATATAAAGTTTTTCTAATTCATTAAATGTTGATCTTATGATGATGTTGTCAATAAGTGTGCTGATGATATGATGTCGTAATGACGTGATGATATGATGATATCTCGATAAGTGATGTGACGATTTGTTGATGGGGATGAGATAATGCTTCCGATAATAAAAAATTATTCTTTTCATAGTGAAACACAATTTTTATTTTTGTTACATGCATAATTTTTTTCTTGCAGATTTGCAGACCTTTCTCTACGTAAAAACTGATAAATTGCCCGTTAAAAATATGTTTTTGAATTATTAACGAATTCTTAGAAATTTTAAAAGTTAGTTGTTAGAAATTTTAATTTCAAATTTTCAACTTGGAAAAATGGTAAACTTTGTTCTTCTTCTTGACCAAGATAATTTATATCCATCCATGCTAGCAAAAGTGCAAATCTTTTTGTATAAGCACCGTAGTGCCGCCCATAGACTAAAATATTTATTTTCATTGTTTGATTATTATTTTCAATATAATCAGAAAATTACTTGGAGTACTCGACAATGTTGACTGAATGTTGTGCTCTGATGTAGTTAGTGTAGAATGTTAGTTGAGTAATTCAAGGATTGGTTGGTGTTGTTGGTGAGATGATGTAGAGATATGATATTCTCTATGGTTTTGATAGTAACGAAATGATATTATGTAGATATCACGTGTTTTGGAGTTGTTTCCCTAGAAAAATTTTTAAGTGTCTTTATGGATAGAACAGCCATGCTGAATTTCTTTTTCGAAATGTTGAAATGTTTCCAGACTAATAAACAGTTAATAAAACTATGCACCAGAACAAATGTTCCCCTAAAAAGTATAGATAGCAACAATAATCGTAAAATCGAAATAATCACGAGAATAATAAAACGTTAACCAGAAAGACGATATAAAAATGATTATTATGAATAGGAACAATAAAGATGAAATAAATTTGTTTCAAAAATAACAGATAATAAACATTTAATAATCTCATAAATTAATAACATTTAACACCAACGGATAATTTTCATTTTTTTTGTTTGAGCAGATGGTAGTAAAATGGTACATAAATGTAACAATTTTTAAATCTTCACATGTTCAACACAGGCAAACAATGACACGATCACTCTACGTATACCATAGGTGGACACACACATACACACAAAAAATACACACACACACAAACACACACACACACAAAACACACACACACATGACCAATAAAAAACACAAGGAGGCAAACCCTACAGTAGAAAATCGTTCATAGCAATTAAATGATTTTATTTAACGAGGAATAACATTAGATTTTTCAAGTAAGTATTTGTGTGGCACTTTTGATTTTTTACTTTAAAGTATTTTTTGTGAAACTTTCATCATTATAAAGTCTGCTTATAGTCGTGATTGTAGTTTTTAATTATCAGTAGTTTTATTTCAAGAATTTGATTTTGTTGAAACGTATAAGAACCCTTTTTTTCAGATATAACTTTTTCATATATTGCTTCTAAGACCACAACAATTTCAAGTTTACATTTTTGTTGTAAATTTATTTTCAACCTTAACAAAAAGATTCTTCTTGAATATTCGTTTATATAGAGGATTGTTAAATTTAACAATAACAAAAAATCCAGTAGGTGGTACTTTAGATTTGGATGACATTCTGACTCTTATTCATGTCTCATTGTAAGTGGTAAGGTTGACTTTGAACTTTCTATGTTTAAAATTTGAAAAATTGAGAATGTTTAAAATAACATGCGACTGTTTATGTACATCTTGGTTTTATATTTCAGGATTTTTCAATTTTAATTCATTAATTCTATTAAACTAGTTGATTATATGTAGAAGAGTTTTTAATTTGTAGTATTTTTATTTATTTTTTAAAATACTTTCCGATTATTTTAAGTATTAAATATATTCTTGCTTGTTTTTCTATTTTGGCTGCTGTATTGATAGTAACTAGATTCGTATGAGGAAGCAATCCCCACATATCCGATAGAATGTGTGAGTGATGCGTGACGTTTTCACATGCGTTTTGTGTGTGTGTATGTGTGTGTTAGTGTGTGTATGTGTGTTTGTGTGGTTGTGTGTGTGTGTGTAGTTGATAACTCTGAAGTTGATAAGCAGCAATAACCAGAGACTAACATTGTACAAGGAGACCAAGTAATGCGAAGATGAAGTGAGAAAGTTTTGGTTGACGCCAGGGTGATCAAGATCGTGGCAGGCCGCTGACAAGATGGCTGCCATCATTTCTAATGACGTCATGTGTGGGTAGATCTGGCGTGGTTTGGTTGATGATTTTGCGGGTTTTTGGTTGTTTGTTTGGTTGTTCGTGCGTGCGTTTGTTCGTTCGTTTGTTTGATTGATTGGTTGATTGGTTGATTAATTGATTGGTTGATTGATTGTTTGGCTTTTGGTTTGGCAATTGGTTGTTTGATATTTTGAACAAACAATCAATAAAAGTTTTAATTTAACAGATTTTAAGTGCATTTTTTCAAAAAAGGATCCTTATTATGAATAATAAGCATTTGAGCTGAAGAACGAAGACTGTACTAGTTTGATGATTATTCACTAAGTAAATAAAATTTTGAGTTTATTATGATAAAAATCGTGATTACGAAATAACTGAAAAAAATGTCTAAAATTTTATTTTAATACATGTAGAACAATGAAGCGTGCAAGAAAAATGTTAGATAGATTATTTCGCCTGAATATGATGCATAGAATATTGCGATGGAAGAAATAATAAGAAATGTTCTCGGACCATGAAGATGACAATTCTTCATGATCAAATATTTGGAAATAAAAATGCAAGAAAAAAATCAAAAATAACATAATGGACAAATAACACAGCAACAAAATATTAAATAAACAACAAAAAATAGTGGAAGACGCTGAAAACGTAACGACCAAAGAGCGAACATACTAACACACAAATACAACAAAACAAAAAGCCAACGTATAAACAAATTAAACAGACAAACGCTAACATTATACGAAGGAACGAATGAACAAACAAACATAAAAACAAACGAACATTTTCTTCGAGGAGATTGCAATGAATAGCCTGAACAACATCAGCAGCATGAAGCGAGTTGTGATATGGATTGGTCTTGCAGTAGCCCAGCTCTACGAGACCTGCTCGAACAATATTTATCAACACATCAATCAATCTCTCAACTCAATAGTTTTTGATTGATCAATTTTCATCTATGCAGTAAGGCTTGCTTTTGGATTTATTGTATTTGCGTTTATTCAATTTTTCTATCGTTAATATTATATATTAAATATAAATGAACAAATAAATAAATAAATATATATATATATATATAAACATATATATATATATTAATTGTTTATTTGTTTGTTTATTTATTATTAATTGTTTTAACTTGTTAGATAGTTTGTATATCTATCAGAAACTTCCAGGAGTTCAATTTTTAAAACTTATTTACTGACAGCAAACTTGTTAATACTAAAATAAAATGTTCACATATGGTTTCACAAGAAGAACTGCTGACACGACAAAGCCAAGCCTCACATCAAACATTCATCATGCTTCCATATTAACAAGAGTAATTAATGTCTCGCGATGTTCTTACATGATTGATGACTTTAATTTTTTGATAAACATGATTTTTTTATACTTGAATGACGTCAAACTTGTTGAAAAAATGATGAATTAATAAAATTTTTACTTTAGTGCGTGATCTAAACATTGAAGAAACTTTTCTGACACTAAAAAATTAAAAAATTCTTTCATAAAAATTGTAAAACCTATCTCAATTCTCTCATTAAAATTTTTCAAATTTTTATAACAGATTAAACACAAAATACTATACTAAAAAAAGTATACTCTCGTAAATATTAAACAAACAATTTTCCGCCTCACCTTATCTCGACACTTTGCGCACACATATTAATGAAAATAAAAAATATTGTGGAACGATTGGAACTTGAAACGAGAACGATAAAAAAAATAAATTTAATAATTATGACACCACTATAGTGATAACATTTAACTGTTGAAGAACAAGCTTACGTATGGTCCTGTAGAGTTTGAGAGCATCTAGCTTGAATGTTCTGATGAAATTGTACGTGTGGAAGAGGTGAGTCACCAAATAAGGGAAGCTGTGGCCTTCAAAATTGTTGAAAATTTGTTATATTATGTGTTAGAAAATATTTTATGTAATGCCAAATTCTATTTTATAAAATCATTTTCTCTCGTGATTACGGCAAATAATTTTGTATTATCGATTCATCTGCCAGAAAATCTTCACGACACGTATCAAAACCAAAACGATTTCTAAACAACCGGTTCAAGAAGCAGAATGTTTGGAAAGAAATGTTTTTGTTAATGCGTTTTATTGACGTAAAAAAGCAAAGTGCCTGTCAGCTGGGGATTATGCAAGTTGCAAAGCAAACAAGCAAATAAACAAGAAGAAGGAAAGAAGAACATGAAAAAGAACTGGTTGTTTTGTTGGTTTGTTTGTTTGCTTGCAAGTGTTGTACTGTGCATGACATGACATGGCGACCATGTTAAATATTAAATTATGATCTAATATTACACTACCTTACAAAAAAAAGTCTTGGAAAAAGGTCTAGGTTATCTCAACTAATTTAGGATAATTTGACGTCACTTGAGTTCGAAAATGATAATAGTTTTTCTAGATTGGGTCAATTTTTTACGTAAACTTGATTTCAATGAAGGACTGTTTGATGTGGACATTTATTGGTTGATTTTTTACAATAATTTTCCTTAAAAAACATTTCTATGAGAATAAAGTTATTGTACAAAACGACATGTTGATTACACCAACACGTAGTATCAATTTATATAGATATATAAAAATTGAACATAAGCTTTAATGAATGACATTTGCCTTTCAGAGTGAAAACTTACGCATCCTAGAAACCCTAGCATGTAGAGCATCAGGGTTATCTCTTTTTAGGATCCAACAATAAACCGCTATCTTCACTGAATCCCATCCTCCGTTATACCTGGTTTCAATTCCCCGCATGTCCTTGAAGAATTTTTCTTCTTCCTCTTCATCACTCATCGGCTTCCAGGGAATATTTTTATATATCTTTGTTGTACAAGTGTTATCATTTGTTGGAATGCGTTAAATTAATAATTTTCCAATATTTTAAATTTGAATTTGCCTCACAATTCAAATGATTGAATTAAAATACCCTTAACTTGAAAGAGAAAGTTTCCTTAGCTACATGATGACCATGTTTTCGTGAGAAAGAATTACAAAACAACTTTAAACGAGCCAGCGACAAATGGTTAAGGTTCTAGATGCTAACTTTTAAAAAAAACGCCGGTAACGCAGTTTCTAACGTCGTATATGCGGTTAATGTCCTAACTAGCAAAATAAATAATCCTTTATGAAAATTTCTCACCTAAATTCAATTTTTCAACTCACAGAATTGATTATCTGGCCTCAATTTTAATTTAACCCAACCACTTGAATTGAATGTTAACAACGCCAATCAACGACGCATTAATTTGAGAGTTTCAGTGAATATTTATGACAAATGTTTTATAAAAATTTCAGAGCACTTGTGAAAAGCGTTCAAAGGACAAATCGTTGAGAGCAGCGTCATAAAGCATTGGCTTATGAATAAATAATCAACGCAGTAAACAATGCAATGTAGAAAGCGTGAAAGCATTTTAAGTCGGAGTTCGAAAAAAGTTTAACTAAAGTTAACTCACATGTGATATTTTTGTTAAATTTTTTTTTGAAAGATCACAAAAAAATTTATAAAAATACTTTTTTACAAAAATTTTTAATGATTAAGAAATAAGAAAAATCAAATTTAAGGACAAAAATGAACAAAAGCAGTTTTTAAAAATAGATAATTATAAAAAATTCCTTTTTGAAAACCAAAAAAGCTTCCACACACAACAGCAGCTAAAACAACAATCATTAAACGCTACGAAAAACAACCAAATATAAACAGTATTAACCGCCATCAAGAAAAAGTTTTGCAATCACATTACCAAAGCATCGCCAATCTTCATTCTACCATCAACAAAGCCCATCCAACAAAAACCATCCAGCAAACACCATCCAACAAATACCATCCAGCAATACCATTAACAGATACAACTAACAATTCCATTAAAACCCTTTAGATACCTATCATCTACCATTAAGTAGTAACAAAACAAACTGCATTTAATATAAACTGCACAGCAAAAACGAACGAACAAACAAACGAATGAATGAATGAATAAAAGCCCACCATTAGTAAACCAATCCAGTACAAATACGTTGAAGCTCCACTTGTTCACGTTGGCCAGTAGGTTCTGTGTGTGAGTAAGAAACAAAATTAATCATCATTGTTTGGACATTGTTCTTTGTTTTGTTATTTTTCTAGTTTATTTTCAGGGTTTTTTTTTGTCATGACTAATTATCGTTCACTGTCTGCATTTTCCATTTTTAAATAACTTTAAACTTGTTGGTGTGCGTTTGTTAATTTTTTTTAAAATTCAATTTAAAATTTTCAATTTTTCACGCTTAATTTGTTAGTTGAAAAATTGAAAAAAATTGAAAAACTTTCCCTCCATATAATATAAGCACACGAACAATACGAGCATTAATATACTATACACACACCATGATATCATGCTCTCCATCATTGTATCAATATTTGCCAGCACATACATTCGTCACTTAATATCCCTGAAATATTTGAAGACCACAACCAACAGTAAAATTAGTAGTAGTAGTAGTAGTAGTAGTAGTAGTAGTAGTAGTAGTAGTAGTGGTGATAGTTGTAGTAGTAGTAGTAGTAGTAGTAGTAGTAGTAGTAGTAGTAGTAGTAGTAGTAGTAGTAGTAATAGTAATGGTAGTGGTAGTAGTAGTAATGGTAGTGGTAATAGTACTAGCAGTAGCAAAGTAGCAGTAGTAGTATTAGTAAAAATAGTAGTAGTAGCAGCAGCCAAAAAAAGTAACGACAACGAAAATAATAGAAGAAAATAGAAACAAAGCAATTTAATTATCGTTTCCTCGGAAAACATAGGCAAGAAAAGTTCAGTGGCTAACAATTAATGACAACCGCATCAATTAAAGACAACGCTAATGAAGCTATTAAGACTGATTTTTTATTTTCATATTCTAATTACAAGATGCCTTTTAAAGAAAACAATCAATCACTACTAGAACTCTTTCGTTGTGGCTTCCGATAATATTGTAGACAACGACAACAACAACAACAACAACGCAAAACTAAATTATTTTTGTAGTGATTATTTTTTAACTATCTCTATTTCTTTATTTTTTCAAATTAACCACAAAACAATTAAAAACTTATAAAAAAAACATTTCCCAGAACTGCACCAACCATTCCACAATCTAATAGTTATCAAATGAAACCTTACTCTAACATATTCATCAAATCGCCATAAGAACTGTCTTCTTCATATTTTTTCCGGATGAAACGAGTTAATTCATAGTAATAACCACGCAGCCGATTTCGAGGTACTAACACAACCAATTGGTCTTCACTATAGCCACCATTATCATCTCCACCAACCTTGGCGCCACTTTTATTGCAAAAATAATGGCTGTAATTTAATCTTCTGCCAACGCTCATCGTCCATCTCAACATCTTCCCCATCATATTTGTCATCATCTTGTCATTATCAGCATTTTTGTCTATGTCATTATCAATTTTTATCATTCAAATTACCTCTGTCTTATTAAAGAGTTTGTTGGTTAGAAATTTTCATGTCATATTGTTAATGTATTGCATTGCTATCATCTAAAATGTTATCATTACAAAGACGAAGCATACACTTTATCACATCATCGCCATCAGCACATCATCAGCACATCACCATCACGTCATCATCACACCATTATCACATCACCATCACGTTATTGATCCGCAGTAATCTGATTCGTAGTCATAAATGTCGCGTCATCATTATTTTCACGTTTACCTCATTGTACTTGAAAGAAATTCTTTCTTCATTGTCACCATCATAATCCTTGTTATTGTTGTTGTCATCATCATCATCATCACTATCATCATCATCACCATCATCATCATCACCATCATCATCATCACCATCATCATCATCACCATCATCATCATCACCATCATCATCATCACCATCATCATCATCACCATCATCATCACAATCATCATCATCACAATCACCATCATCATCATCATCACCACCATCATCATCATCATCATCATCACGTGAACTCACTTGAGCTTGACTGAGGTACTGGTGATCAAGCAGATCACAGGATGTGTAGGAGAGAGGAAGAACGAAGGAAGGAATCTTTTCATCCAGTGACGATCGGCGCAGGCTGGATAGCAACTGACTCCAAAATAATTTTTCTTCCTTGTCTAGACGATGATGACGTGTATGAAGATGATGATGATGATGATGTTGTCTACGATATAGTCTATGATGATAATGATGACGAGTGAATAAATTAATTAATTTTCCATTAATTTTTTCTCTAATTTGTATTTAATTCGCTCATTTTTTTGTATAATATTGAAAAATTTTTCACGATCATTAATATAAAAACCTGTGCGTGATAGATGGAAAATTTTTACTTACTGGAAAAATTTCTGCATCGCTACTTATGTGTGGCTATGTGTGCGTGTGTGTGTTTGTGCGTATTCAACTGTATTTATGTATATTTATATATTTTTTAAAAATTCCTATGCATAACTCCTTACTTCTATATACGGCTTAAGATACTATTAAAAAATTTTTTTAAATTTGTTCTTGGTCTCAGAGTTTTCTTCTTCTAAAGGTCGTTTTGATGGATTGTGTGGTTGCTGCTGTTTGAAGTTGTTTTATTTTGACATTGGAGTTTATGTTTGTAGGTTTTTTGGATAAAACACAGGAAATATCTTGAATAAAAAAACTCAGTAAAAATGAAACCAGGAATAAGATGGAAAGCCGAACTGGAAGAAACACAGCGTAAGCAAACATGAAATAAAATTCGAGCAACTAAAAATATATCTCAATATAAATAAAACGAAAAACATTAAACAACATGTAAAATAAATATAAAATGAAAGCAGGAAACACGTGCCAAAAGTAATAAAGACAAGCAAACAGATCTCTTGGAGTTCACGGTATGTATGTATTTATTTTATGTATGTATGTTTGTGTGTATGTATGTATGTATGTATGTATGTATGTATGTATGTATGTATGTATGTATGTATGTATGTATGTATGTATGTATGTATGTATGTATGTATGTATGTATATGTGTATGTATGTATTAATGTATGTATGTATAATATTATTGAAGTTTGTATGCGTGTGTACGCCTGTACGTGTGTACGACTCATAACAAAACCTGTCTTAACTAATAGAACGTCTTGTATGGCCTGCTGGTTAGCTTCTTATGAATAGGAAAGATAACATGATCAGTTGGAAAAAATGATCGTAAAATGAGCGTGCAAATGGAAAAGAAGATGATGGGAAGAGAACGAAAAAGAAGGAATTGTTGTGAATTGTGCAATAAAAGAAAATTACTCCTTTTATTATTTAGATGTTAAAGGAAATAAAACTCAGCCGTCTGTTTTGCTTCTGTCTTGCTTGTTAACATGAAGAACGCAAATGTTCGGCTGTTGTTGTTTTGTTGTTGTGGCTGAACATTGCATTTAATTGAATGCAATGTCATTGGATGAAAAATGATATCATTTGGTGGAATGTAATGTCAGTTCTTGTAATGTCATTTAAAATCGAGTAATGTAATGCCTTTTGCCTATTTTTAATCTGAAATGATGATATACTCTGATGAATTTCAATTGAAGATTTATGTGAACGCATATCATAAGTTGCGAGGTATAATGTAACATGGTTTTTGAAATATTGTATGTGGTATGTGTATTGTTTCGTATATGTATATAGTAAAATGCGTTATACTGAGGTACTAAAAAATTCTAACATGAAGCGTGATACAAAATCGTTTAATGGTTTGACGTTATTTGACGGATGTTTCAAGGTGTCACGACTACCAATCCAACTACGAAGATAAAATAAGTTGGTTAACGTTTCTTCAAAATGGAGGTGTCACATGGCTCAATCATCATCTTGCGGTTAGGTAACAACAAGCGAAATTATATCACATAAAAATTGCGAAAAAAATATTTTCTTCAAAAAGTTGTTGCATGCTTTTAAATTATAAAATTAGTATTTTAAAAAAAAATTTTGAATCGCGTTTTAAAATAAAAATAATGATTTGTTTAAAATAATTTAAAATGAAAAAAAATAATCAAAAAAAATTTATACTAATATTCGAAAATATCTTTAAAATAAAATTTTGAAAATTAGATGATGTTAAATTAAAAAGAAATGATCAAATGATGAAATCGCGAGGAACCTGAGTAAGTTTTTGATGATATGGATTTGGACCTCCTTCGATTGCAACCAGAATGAGTGGCCATCAGCGTGTCCATCTTGTTATCTGTTGGAGCAAGAGAGGAAGGAACCATCATCATTGATGTCATCTACATCATTCCTAATATCACTCTTATTATTTATCATCATCGTCATCGCCTTCTTTAACATTATTATCACCATCACCATTATCCTCTTCTTTACTATTTATGTAATTTTTTTGTATCATCATCATCGTCGTAGTTGATATGATCAAATTTGACGCACGATCAAGTTCTCATTCAAATCAATACATCCTGCAGTCTCAAAACTTTCGAGACGGGAAGCTCTGCTCGAGTGGTTGCCAAAAAATTTGAAAATCTGTTGCCAATATGAAAGTTGAGGCGGTAAATTTTACTGCCAGAAGCACGTAACATTTAAAAGAGTAATTAACATCATGTTTATTATGCTTCGATGAAAGTCACAATTGATATCGTCACCAACATCATTATTTATTATCACAAAAACTTAATAATAATAATTAATAATAAAATCTTCATCGCGTTATTTATGAGTAGCTAAAAAAAATTTGTTAGGCTCAGGATTTTTTTTTCTCATCGAGGAGAGCCTCATTTATCATTTTAAGTTAATTTCGCTTCGAAGGCTGATGTGCATTTGAAAGGTTGTCATATTTTATCCACTCACTGACACCCATCCATCCACGCATTAACTGACTACTGATTCAATAAATTAGGCCGAAGAAATTTCATTTTATTCCTTATTTAACTTTAAGTGTTAATTTATTCATGGGTTATTTATTTTAAGAGGTTACTTTTTAATTGAAGCACTCAGACTGGTTAAAAAAGTGAAATATTATGAAATCATAAAATTTAAAATACATATTTAGAGTAATTCAACATCGGGAAGTATGGGTTAAC